ATGTTTACACCCATTATTCAAGAGAAAATTACTTTATCATGGTATGCAGTTGGAGTTAGACATGCGACTACATGCTACTGAAAATGACAGGACCTGACTTTAAACATATCATAATATTACATCTAAAAGACATTCAACCCAACAGACAAGCAGTAACCAACACAAGACCAAACGTGTTTCCCTTAAAAGAAGTGAAAACACCCACATTATCTTCCTTACCTTTACTAGTGAGTGGAAAACCTGTGTAGCACTCTGAGCCACACTCCACTTTGGGATCAAACACCAGTCTTCCCACATGGCTTTTGTGGCCGGCTTGTAACGTCAGGAGAGAGCTCTGGCTGGGCTCGTAGGAGAACCGCGAGTCAGCTGGCAGCGGCTTCACCTCCTTCACTGACATTGGGTGGCCAAACGTTGACAGAATATGCAAATTCTGCTTTGAGATTTTCCCCTAAAACAAAAGACAACAATATGGGTATCTGGTGCTTGCTTACTTTGCATTAAATGGGATTTAAAAATACTAAAATATATTACATGAGGTCTAGACGTTTCATTAAAAAGAATACACTTAAGCAGGTGTGTCCACATATACATATGTTTATGTACTTGTATATTTATTTGTATATTTACATATATACATACACATATACATGTATATATGTATTAAGAAAGCTCAAACCCCATTTACCGGGAATGCATGATCAAACACAATGGTGTTGGGCACGACACTGAGAGATCCGTCAGCAGTGCGGAGGCGAAATGGTATCTTGATCTGCTCGAACTGTGTCTGCACGAATGCCTCAGCAATGAAGATGCCCTCCGTGTCGGGCGTGAGCACACCAATGCGGAACACAGCGTAGTGGTGAGGCTTCAGGAACAACTGATGCCAGGAAGAAAAACATTATTTTAGAAATAGTTGAATTAATTTTCATATTCAATTTTTTTTTTTTTTTTTTTTTTTTTTTTTTTTTTTTTTTTTTTTTTTTTTGACTGTCTTGAAAACAGGCTACTTCTACATCTCTAAGATATGAACACTTTCTTTTTCTCCCTCTGTCTCTCTTTGTCTCTTATACATGCGTGCGAGTGTGTGCAAATGCGCACACACATGACAAACCACCCACACATACATACATATTAAATCAATATTCTACGTATAAAAGCTGGCAGCTACATTGCATGTAGAAGCTCAACATTTAAAAATCACCTATATAATTTCTACAGTAAGAAGAAAAAAAGGACCTAAAAGGAAATGACATCAAATCAAAGGAGAACGAAAAAGAGAAGGGAAATGGAAGAGAAGGAAGGGAGGGAGGAGGATGGGAAGGGAAGGAAATGGGATGAAGATGATGAAAAGGACAGGGAAGGGGAAGGGGGAGGAGAGGGGAAGGGGAAAGAGAGGGGAGGGGGAGGGGGAGGGGGAGGGGGAGGGGGAAAGGAAAGGGGAAGGAGAGGAAAGAGGGAAAGGGAAGGGGAAGGGAAAGGAGAGGGAAGGGGGAAAGGGAAGGGAAACAGGAAAGAGAAGGAGAAGAAGAGGAAGGGTAGGGGGATGGGAGTGAGGGAATAGGATTGGGAAGAAGAGAAGGAAAAGAAGAGGAAGAAGAAGAACAAGAACAAGAACAAGAAGAAGAAGAAGAAGAAAAAGAAGAAGGAGGAGGAGAAGGAGAAGGAGAAGAAGGAGACAGAGAAGGAGAAGGAGGAGTAGTAGAAGGAGAAGAAGGAGATGAAGAAGGAGAAGAAGAAGAAGAAATAGGAAAAGAAGGAGAAAAAATAGGAAATGAAGGAGAAGGAGGAGGAGAGGGAGTAGAAGGAAGAGAAGGAGGAGGAGAGGGAGAAGGAGGAGGAGAAGGAGGAGGAGAAGGAGGAGGAGAAGGAGGAGGAGGAGGAGGAGGAGGAGGAGGAGGAGGAGGAGGAGGAGGAGGAGGAGGAGGAGGAGGAGGAGGAGGAGGAGGAGGAGGAGGAGGAGGAGGAGGAGGAGAAGGAGGAGGAGGAGAAGAAGAAGGAGAAAAGGATAAAGAAGGAGAAGAAGAAGGAGGAGAAAAGGATAAAGAAGAAGGAGAAGAAGAAAAAAACAGAGGAGAAGGATAAAAAGTTATATCAACCATACATTACTAACAGACATAGATAAAAGGAATTGTAAGAGACGGGTGAAGAATAACAGAAAATAGGAGGAATGGAAGAGGAAAGAAGAGGAGGAGGAAGAAATGCCATAACTTGCAAAATGAATAATAAATTGTCAACACCAACATATAAAAGATATTGTCACTATTTTTTTACTGTTATTATCTTTTTATAAGTGTCAACATCCAATATGTAACATTAAAAAAGCAAAGAAAATAATTTTTGTATACCATTTTTTGTAAGCAATAGTAATGCTTTAAAAATAATACACATACTAGCAATCTTCCCAGGCCAATAAATTAGGTAAAAATAAATACAAATCATACAATAATAATAACAGTACAAGTGGTAACAAATAATTATAACAAAAATATAATAATGAAAC